ATTTTGAAATGTTTCAAATATGGACAGGATGTTTCAAAAAATGAAGTAAAGAATAAGCCAGGAAGCACCTTCCCTCCATAGGAATTTTATGACACCATATTTTTCTTAACATTTATAGTATAGTATACACAAAAATTTGTTCGCAATGTTTTTATTCTGGCTTTAAGACTTTGAAGCTGTTATTGTAACATCACCTATTCTATTTTAATGGAGTTTTCTGAAAAAATGAAATTGTTAAGATTTATTGTCAAAAGATTAATCACACATACGTTGGGTGGTTGATGGATACTGATGAAACATCTCCCAAAGATCTGAGTTCAAATAAATCCACAGAAATGTCCACAAAGTTTTGCAACCATTTATAAATTTCCTCACCCAATTCAATACTGAAGAGGAGGAGGATTTAATTTGCCTATCACCTGGTATAAAGGCACCTATTTCCATTGCTAATAATTTGTTTTTAGCAGAAACTCTTGGTAAAAAGGCTCTTAAGGAATTTATTCAGACAAGGCTTGTCAACAAAGTTGTAGCTTTCAATGACCCTTTGAGTAGGTAATCCCTTAATACATTTAGTAATATGCAACAATCACCTAACTTAAAATACTCATAAAAGAAGGTTGTTTAAGTTACAGCACAAAGAAATCTTTTTGGTCAGCTTCTGATGTTGTCAGGAGAGAATAACCTTGGACTTGAAAAAGTTTATTCCTTCCCTCTTACTCCTGTACCATGGCCATTGGTAATGTCTGATTGGTCAGTAGTGAAAACTGATAGACAACACTTCCTCACAAATTGGAGGATGAACTAGCACTGCATGAGTTTTCAGAAGAAAAATAGAATTTATTTAGTTGGTAGGAATGCTCTCTTACAGGCACTTGTTGGTTTGCATGATAGTTTTGTTGACCTTGCTCTGAAGATACTTCTGGCTCTGCAAAAGGTTAAAAGGGTCAACTTTGTTACTGATCATAACAGGAAAACTCAATTAAATTCACAAAAAGGCTCAGAGAAGCTTTATATAAAGATATTATCTTGTCAGAGGGTCATCAATCGAGATACCACATTGATGGAAATCACTCCTGTCCACAAAGAACATATTGTCAAACTGCTCATGATTGAGTGGGGAAAGGATGTAAATCCCCCTAAACTTCGAATCATGAGGTTTTGTTTCTTACATTAGCCATGATCACATAGATTTCACAACACCAACCTGTTACAGTATTTTTTCATCCCAAGAAGTAGGCAATACCCAGATGCTTCTTCACTGCATGCATGCTTAATCATTGAAAGGGTTTGACAAAGTCATTGTGAGACTAAAAAGAAACTGATGTGTTTCTATTACTTCTGTATTCCAGGGACAAATTTACACAGGATTTGTGTTAGAAATAAATTCAAAGTATAGAATATCAAAACACTTAGTCAAAAACATGGGCAACAGTTATGAATTGCCCTTTTAGAATTACATGCTTTTTCCAGCTGTGACACTTCATGTGCCTTTGTAAGAAAAAGAAAGATAAAGCCAATACACATGCTCAAGAAGTATGAAAGGTACATGACAGTTTTTAGTGAACTAGGTGCTTCAAATTCTGTATCAATTGAAGCAACTTATGTACTGTTTGTATTGAAAATCCAAAATATACCGATGTAAGCAAAATTCGTAAATTTTAAACATTTAGTTGCTTTAACCAGAAGTGGTCATCTCTTCTCTGATTATTATAGTATTGACTTGTATCTTTTATCACCATGCAGTTCTACTTTAAGAATACATGTACTGAGGACCAGTTATTAAACTTTCATATGGAAAAATTCCCATATACTATACTCTGATATTCCTAATCTAGATACTTGTGGGTGAAACATTGACAAAATCGGGAGTATTGTTTATTATTGGCGTGATGGTGAAATTCTTCCACAGAAACTACTTGATATTTTGTTAAATCAGGAAGAGACAGAAACATTTATGAGGGGCAAAATGATGATGGTGAAAACATAGTCCAATATAGTTTGGCTTTAACTAATAAGACTTTTGAATTAGATGAAGCGAGAAGTGATAACGAGGATGATTAAAGCAATTTCTATTGTTCTGTGATCTAATTAGAGTTGAAACTTCTTCAAAAATATAGTTTTACTAAGGTGAAATGTTATACTGATTGAAAAAAATTAAATTTTCATTTTCTCTCATAATTTCCCAGTTTTTCTGTCAGATTCGGTTAACTATGGACCAAACACACCAAATCATTATTGTGGTCTTATTATGTACTCAATTCTAACAATACCAATCAGGCCATAATTTGTTGTGTTATAAATGGCCAGAAAACAAGAAAAGCACAAATGTATACTATGTCATAATAGGTGGTTATGAATAATTCCTTGTACCAGCTTTAAGCTGAAGTAAAAATTGACAAAGAAACAAATTTTTACTTCTAACATAATAATATTTTAAAAAGTTATGGTGTTATAAAATCCTCATGAGGGGGTCTATAGTGGTCCAAGGACTAATAACCAATGTACAACATTAATTCCATTTCTTGTACTAAAAACATATTACTGTAACAACAACTATTAAAATTTACCCATTGTTTTAAATTATAAAATTTGTCTATCAAGTAGTTTTTTTTCAAATTTTCTCAATGCATATGATGCATTATATAACCATATCAGTCTATTTGAATTGAAATATCTAAATGTCATTCAGCAACGTACATGTACAACAAACAGAAATTAATAATCTAAAAAATCTCCTACATTTATACATGGGTATCAAATGTTTTTAAAAAATAAAACTAACAGTTTCTCCTAAAATTGCCATATTTGTTCCGAATTATTAATTTGTTTTAAATTATATCTGTTTGAAGAGTAGTTTGTATCTAGGTAATTGCATTTGTAAATCCTACTTAATCGTTAACTTAAATCATAGTTGAAAGTCAGTTTTATTAAAACAAAAGTAGAACTTTGAACTCTATTGAAATTGGCAGGGCATGTTTTGTTGTTCTCAAATGCTACTTTTTATAATTCTGGAAATTCTTTGGTATTTTATGTACTTTTCTCCCAGTTAAATTTGTATACTCGTGATTAGACTTCAAGAAAAGACAGACATCACAGAATATAGGTGATTAAATAGATACTTTTGTGTGAAGTTTTTTTTTATAATTCTTGGACTCCAATGTGGAGATAACAGTTTTATTGGAATATTTTTAATCTTCTGACCCTTCACAATTTCATTTTAAGATATATTTGTTACTGTATATATAAATTTAAAAAGCCATAAATGTATCTACTTAATTTCATTTACAGATACTTTTGATTCAGGTTTTAGTCACAGGTCAGAATTAGAATTAAAAAAATTAAGATAAATTATCTGAATCTTTATGAGAAAGTGGCTAAACAAATATGTTGATAAAATATTTAGGATACACATTGATTTTAAACAAACATTACATATTTTACTTATGGTAACATGCATTGAATTTATTTTTTAATTTCTGTAGAAATGCATTCAAGTAACTTTTTGAAGCAGTTTTCTTAATATAAATAGGAACTGTCTCAATGTTCATTTATCCCTTGATTCTCAATGGTTATTTCAAACCATGTAAGAAAAGAACTGAAGTATATCTATGAAGATTTGTGAACTACTAAATTTATTGAATATCCTACAGTACATAATTTAATTTGATTACATTCTTAATTAAAAAAAAACTTTTGACAAATTTAACAATTCCAAGTTTATCTAATTCATTCTTTTAAAAATAGTCAGCTGTGTTCACCTTAAGTCATTTAAATATAAGCACATATAATGAATTATAAATATGTAATTTTGTTATTAGTTTGAATGTATATCATTCACTGTTTTGCTGAATAAAATTGATTATTCATAAATTTTCTTGGATATTGAAGAATTGATTTTGATTCAACTGTTTTATTTCAAAATATCTCATCAATTTTTATAAATAGAGAAAAGTAGAACATTTTTTAAATAATTACCATTATAGTTTATCACAGTAAATCCTATCTATCTTTAAAAAAAAATTGAAATAAATTTTAAGTAAGTAAGTAAAAGCCTTTTTTTCAATATCTTAATTCTGAATAAAGATCTTTCAAATTAGTTAATCTTAAAGATTCGATTTCTCAATTATTCCATTCAAATGCATTTAAATATTATATGTAAATAATGTTTTTGCCTGTGTTTAATGAGGTACTTTACTGCAAAACTTCATAGAACAGGTACAGGTTGCTCATTAATGAAATACTAATTAATATTACTGTTAGTTAACTTATGGAAACAGACTATATAAATCATTTTGTAATAATTATTTATATTCATTATATATATATATATTAACTTTT